CTGGCTTTGAGGCATCTCCATTGAGCCCTTGCCCTGTTCCAGCCCTCAGTGACCAGGGAGGGATGCTCAAAGTAGTTGGGGCTCTGCTTGGAGCTGAGCAGCCCTGGGGCTGCAGGCATTGAGCTCTATACTCCAGGCCTGCCATGATGGGAGAGTAGGCAGGAAGGGGCCCGGAGAATAGGGCCCACCCAACCCCTTAGGGAGCCAGGTGGCCTGAGCTTCAATCCTGGCTCTGCCATAGAAGCTCTGTGCCCACGGGCAGTTCCCTTGGCCTCTCTGTGCCTCAGTAGGCCTGGGTTCAAACCGTGGCCCTGCCCTTTATCATGGGATATCACTTAACCTCTCTGTGGGTCAGTTTCCTCATCTGTAAAATGAGAATCATGATTTTACCGCCTCAAAGATGGTGAGGATTAAATGAGATCATGCTTAGGAATCACAGAAACTGGCACTGAATCACTAGGAGCTGTTGTCATGATTGATCTTTCAACAAGGTGAGGAAAGCAGGCAGGGAGGGAACTGTCATGTTTTTATTTTATTTTATTTTTTAAAGACAGAGTTTTTCCATGTTGGTCAGGCTGGTCTTGAACTCCTGACCTCAGGTGATCCGTCTGCCTCAGCCTCCCAAAGTGCTGGCATTACAGGCGTGAGCCATCACACCTGGCCGAACTGTTATGTTTTATGGCTTCTGTGCACACTTCCTCACAGTTCCTCCCAGCAACCCATGATGTGGGCACCAGTACCCCCATTTTGCAGAGGAGAAGGCTGAGGCTCAGAGAGAAGTGACTTGTCCCGGATCCCTTAGCCAGTTGGCAGCCAATTTAAAATCAGAGTCCCAAGTTGGACTGACTCCAAAACCCATCCCTCCATTCCCACCATATCAACAATGCCTTCCACGGTGGGGAGGAGCTGGACCGTTCTTGGTGGAGTGCTTAGCGCCCGTGTTCTCTTCAGCACCCAGGGGCCCTGTGAGCTGGCATGGTCCTGCTGACAGCTCACTGTCCCTGCAAATCAGGTCCTGGTTGCCCCAAGTGGAGTCTCTGGGCATTTGGTTTCTCAGTGGTCCCCTCCAATGCGGAGTCCTCCCTCCATGAGGCTCACAGAACAGGGCAGAAGTCAAAGCCTGCTGACTCTATAGTCCCGCCCAGTCCCCCCCCACCCCCCCACCCCCCCAGCTTCTTTCCACTCTGCTTAGGCAGGACCCTGGCGAAGGCAGCCTGGCAAGGAGCTGACTTCCTTTTCCCTTTGTCAAAGCTCAATAACCCCCTGGGGCCCCAGAGAGAGGGAGATAATGAAGGCAAATTAGCAATGATTTCAAGAGAAATAAAATTTAAAAAGCCCGCCCACCCACCCCGGCTGCAGCGTGGGCCTGAGTACCGGGTGTACAGGTCTGAGCTCTAAGAGCTTTTCTCCCTCTGTCCCTCCTCCCCTGACTTGCACACCCCACATTTGCTGGGACTGGCTGGCACCACTGCGGAAATGAATTTCCCTCTGAAGCGAGTTCCTACAGGACAATTGACTGAAGGCAAAAGCTCATAATTGCCCATTGCTGGAAGGAGGAGACAGGGGAAAAAAAAACAAGGTTAAAAATATCTCTGTTTTTTATGCACGTTTCCAGCTGAAAATTGGTGGGAAAGATGTTTTTGAAAAGCCTTCATCTCTAAGCATATAATTACCAGGTCCTGGAACAAAAAAGAGAGTGGGAGAGAGCAAGCATGTTCTCTGAGGGAGGGGGCCTAGGGTCTGAAACCCCCAAGGGGTTTTCTATAAATAAAGTAATCCCCTCAACTTCTCAAACTCTGGCCAGCTGGAGTCAGCCATGGGAGAGACACCCCCATTTTACAGATAGGGAAATGGAGGCCCAAGTCACACAGAATTGGCAATTCTAACCCTGCTCTGATTCTTGGTTTGGATGCTGCCTCAGTTTTCCCCCATCTGAGGATGTTCGTGAAAGGGGGGCCGTATGTCCCCTCTGAATAGGCATCAGCAAACACTAGCATTCCTTCCGGGCACTTTTCTGACTATGCCAGGTGTCTTGGGTAATCAGAAGCCTCTTATCTGGCAATTTGCCTATCAAGAATGGCTTCTTGACTTCCACAAGAGGTCACCATGGCCACATCCTGCGGTGCACTCGCATTCCCTAGGGAAGTCTCTGGATACCTCGCCTGCTGCCTACTCACTCTTTGTCTGCACACAGTAGTATGACTTGTTTTGTGCACACAGTCAAGTCTCTTTGACAGCTGGGAAAGAGGTGGTTCACAGCCTGAGCCCCAAACCAGCCAGAAATTGTAGCAGGAAGGGAGTTGGGGCCACTCAGTGTTGAGACCATCGGGCTCTTGCCCCTCCGCTGTCCCTATGGTGTCATTGTAACCCAGGTTAGCACCTAGGAGTGCACTGGCACAAAATCTGAATGCTGGGATGAGGAAAGGGAAGAGAGGCAGTGTCAGAGATAAACACGGAGGGCACTGCAGAGACCCAGGGCATGGGTCCTCCCCTTTGTCAGCCAACATCGGGCACCCTGTGCTTCAGCATCCAGCTTTTGGGGGTGCCATTGTTCCTCCGTCTGAATTTCTGGCTTGTTTTTACAATTAGGGCTCACGGACTCCACATCCACTCTGGGATTGCACTGCTCTGAATTTGGTGAGCTTGGGTTCTGGCTTCCTTGTCCTTTCCTTAAGAAATAATCCTTCTTCCTCCCCCACTTTCCTCTTAGGATTCATAAACCTGGAGCTAGCAAGCTTATCTCTGGTCTTCCCAAGACAGCTGGAGAGAGAGAGGGATTTTTCAGGGACAGAATCTAATCTACACAGGATAAGACATTTTAATTCCAGAATTGCCCTCATGAAATACCAGAGACGTTCACTGTCACACAGTTGATAGAACCCAGTCTTTTTAATTTTATTAGCTCAGAAACATCTTGTTGAATCTAAATGAAGTGCGTATTAGGAAACTGTAATGGGAAGCATTATACTTAATGGGGTGTTGCCTGAATCCTTGGAGGCTGATGTGAACTGGAGGTGGGAGGGGGATGAGTGGAGCTGCTGAGGACCCAACCCCAGGGACCCTGGAAATGATTCCTGGCTAAACTGTTATTTGATTTGTTATTTGTCAGCTGCTGGCAAGCAAAGGGAAGCCAGCCCTGGTTTGGTGGAGCCGGGTAGTTGGCAACTGGGACCTTTCTCAGTGGTCACAGCTGCAGGTGGAAACACTCTCAACCATCCCTAGGCTCAAGTTGAGTGGCAACACTGACTCAGGCTGAGTCCCACCCTCAACTCAGCAGGATCCTACCCGGACCCAGGCTGAGCCCCTCACCTGTGACTCTGCCCTTAACTCAGGCTGAACCCCTCCCTTAAATCAGGCTGAGCCCCGCCCTCAACTCAGCCTGAGCCTTGGCCCAGACCAAAGTTGAGCTGCTCCTCCCCTAACTCAGGTTGAGTCCCACCCCTGACCCTGGCTGAGTCCGCTCCTGACTATAGAGCAATGGTTCTCAATTGGGGGCGATATGGTTCCCCTAGGGCACATTTGGCAATCTTTGGAGTCATTTTTGGTGGTTAGAGGTCAGGGATGCTGCTCAGCTTCCTACAATGCAGACGAGAAGCTCCCACCGCAAGGAATCACCTGGCAAAAAATACCGCTAGTGCTAAGGCTGAGAAACCTCCCGTAGACTGAGCCCTGTTCCCGGTTCTGGCTGAGCCACGACCCTGACCCAGGCTGAGTCCTGACCTTGACTCAGGCCACTCATATCCTGACTTACCCAGGCCTGGCTGAACCCTAATCAGACCCTCCCCTCATGAAAAACACCTGACTGGAGTGGGATGGGGCAAGTGGCCTCTGCCACCTGCAGGGACTGAACCTTCTCCCCCTCCTTTCTTCCGCTGCCACTGGGGATAGGAGTGCATGTGGGCTGCTGGGTCAGGTCTCACTTTCCATGGCTGTGAGGTGGGGCAGGAGAATGAGGTTCCCACAGCTGGTGAATGGCAGAGACTTGATCTCTACTCAGGCCTGGATGACCTCGGAGCCTCTTCTGCTAACACTGGGCTAAGCTGGGGCCACAGAAGTGGAGGTGGCAGGAGAGCCCTTCTTTAAGGGCCGGGGCAGGGTAGGGGGAGCATGTGCAGGCTCAGGCAAGGCCTGAGGAAGGAGCAGAAGGTGCCCCGTAGGGCTGAGCCCTGAGGCAGCACAGGGAACCCACCAGCTTGACGGTGTGTCCCTTCTCACTTTGGCACCTGCTCTTGCCCATGTCAGCCCAGTACTGAGAAAGGAGACTTAGATGAGGAACCTGAAAAAATGACCTGGTCGATGGGGCCTCAAGCACAGAGTAGAATATGCAAAAAGGTCTGGGATCTGGTTCCAGCTCTTGGTAGAAGCTGCTTTGGCCAAAGACCTCCCTTTTCTGAGCCTGTTTCCCCATCTGTCAAATGGGTGTGATGGCAGCACCTACCTCCCCCCAAGGTCACTGTGAGAAGTGAATGAAGTGGAATGAGATTGTGTGGTGGTGTGCACAGGGCATGGCTGCTGCAGGATCTGTGAGTTTCCTTCCCCTCTCTGTCAGCACATAGAGGAGAAACCAGAACATGCCCATCAGGCTGAGCCCTGCCCTTAACTCAGGCTGAGCACCGCAAAATGCAAAATGAAGCATGTGCAAAATGAGGGATGCTGCAGGGAGGCTGGGTCCCAGCAGGTGACCAGACAACCTTCAGGCTTCAAACTTCTTTGAAATACTCAGGTACATTCAGAGGAAAGTAAGGAAAACCTCAGGCATCAGAAATGAAGTGAGTGAGATAGTCAAGGAGATAAGGATGGTCTGTGTAATCACCTCATCAACTCTGTAAGAGCATGCTGGCCAGTCCAATAAGGCAAACAAGGGAAACGAAAGGCATAAAGGTTAGAAAGTAAGAAATAGAACTGTCATTTTCACAGCTGATATGATTACGTTATAGAAAATCCGAAAGAATCTATGGATGAACGTAGAATTAATACGTGAATTTAAAAGTTTCGAATATCTGCTTGCGTTGGCAGCACAGACACTAAAATTGGAATGATACAGAGAAGATTAGCATAGTCTCTGTGCAAGAATGACATACAAATTTGTGAAGCATTCCATATTTTTACAAAAAAAAAATAGAATGGATAAGACCTAGTATTTGATAGCACACTAGGATGACTATAGTCAATTATAATGTAATTGTACATTTAAAAATAACTAAAAGGGATTAATTGGATTGTTTGTAACACAAAGGATAAATGTTTGAGGTGATGGACACCCCATTTATCTTTATGTGATTATTATGCCGTGCATACCTGTATCAAAATATCTAGTGTACTCTGTAAATATATACACCTACTTCATACCCACGAGAATTAAAAATAATTTTTTAAAGTTCAGAATATAAAACAACTGTCTATTTATACACCAGGAACAAATAGAAAATGAAATTTAAAAAACAATGCAATTCTCTAGCTTTAACACACTTTAAATGCCTAGGAATACATTTAATGAAAAGAGGTATAAGACTTTTTTTCATACAAGTACACTGATCTTGGGAGAAATTAAAGACAAAATGAATGGAAGAATATACCATGATCATTGACTAGAAGGTTCAATACTGTTTTCCAAAGAAAAATACATCAGTTCTCCACAAATGGGCCTATAAATTCAATGCATTTCCACTCAAAAAATGAACAGAAATGGAAACTAGCAGGCTGAGTACAGGTGCTGCTGGGGCTTCTCTACTGGGGTAGCAGCAGGAATGGGGGGTGGGGAGGATGTCTGTGTTTCTGGTAGCCCAGGGCTTGGGCTTTAATGGCTCAGAGCTACAGGAAAGGATACCTTGTACCTTCCCTAGTTGGGATTGAGACCCCGGCATAAAGCCAGGATCTTTGAAGACCTCTACCCTCAGTGACAGAGGAGACTTGGAAAATATTCACCCATCAAAGGGATAAAACAAAAGCTTATTTGTCTCAACTCGGCCTTCAGTGATCTGTTTTGCAGATTTGTGATCCAAGGTCTTCCCTTTGTTTCTGGGGAATGTTAGAATTTTTAATACCCCCATGGTTCTGGAGTCTTTGAGTCAAGATTGGTATTTATAATGCTATGGGAGTATTGTAAATTCTAATGAGTTTTGTAAATACCCATAATCATTGGCATCAGGGTAATGATACTTTGGCAAGTACCCAGGGGAAGGAATGGAAAATTCTCTCTGGACCCTGGAGCCCTACAACCAGGCTGAATAGAATTCCCACAGTTGAAGCCCCATTAAAGATGAGCTCACAATCCAACAATTATCAACCACATGAGAGAACAGTCTACTGTAAGGGAGAGTAATCAGACACTCGGGCAGAAGAAATACCTCCCAAGAGTTTGAGATAATGGAAAAATAGAATAACAGATGAACGTTCAAAAGATTTAAAATTATTAGAAACATACGGAACAACAGAAAAAGAAAGAACAAAACATAAAAACAGAACAAAGAGATAAGCAAAATAATCGAACAGCTTTCAAGAGGCATAAATATACTTGTTGGAATTAAAATTTGGAATGGATATTAGACTAATAATTATGATATTACTTTGTAAGATGTGATATAGTACTTTTGTTATATAAGAGATATGTTTCTATTTATAAATGCATATTGAAATATTTAAAGGTGAAATTGCATTGTGTCTAAGATTTGTTTTAAAATATTTCAGCATAGATAAAAATAAAAATGGACTAAATAGGGCAAAGTGTTAATAATTATTAAAGCTACCTGTTAGTAAATCCAATTCATGATACAAGTGTTTTTCAAACTTTAGTGTGACACATATTCACCTAGAAGGCTTTTCAAAGCACACATTATTCCATCTGACAAAGGATTTGTGTCTGGAATATATGAAAGCTCAATAACAAGGAAACAAACAACCCAACTTAAAAATGGCCAAAAGCTTTGGCACTTCCCCAAAGAAGATCTAGGTGAATGGCAAGTTAAAAAAAAAGTACCCAACCTCATTAGTCATTAGACAAATGCAAAGTAAAACCACAATAAGATACCTCTGCACATCTTTGGCATGACTAATTTTTTTTTTTAATTGGAAGACAGGGTTTCGCTGTGTTGCCCAGGCTGGTCTTAAATTCCTGGGCTCAATAGAGCCTCCCACCCTGGCCTCCCAAAGTGTTGGGGTTAGAGGTATGAGCCAATGTGCCCAGCCTACAGTTTGTTTAAACCCTAACTGATATTACCAAGTGCTGATGAGGATCCAGAGGATACAGTGAAACTCTTTTACGCTGTTGGTGGGTTGCAAAATGGCACAGCCACTTTGAAATAGTTTGGCAGTTTCTTATAAAGTTAACCATATTCTTACCATACCACTCAGCAATGCCATTCTTGGATGAAACAGAAACTTATGTTCAAACAAAAACCTGTATGCAAATGTTTATTATGGCTTTACTCAAAATGGCTCAAAACTGGGAACAACAGGAATGCCTTTCAACAGGTCAATAGCTAAACAAACTGGTACCTCTGTTCGATGCAACCCAAGTTATCGATAAAAAGATGCAAACTACTGATATACACAACACTATGGCTGAATCTCAAATGATTATGCTAAATGTAAGAAACCAGACTCAAAAGCCTACATACTGAGTGATTCCACTCACATGACATTCTGGAGAAGACAAAATGATAGAGACTGAAATCAGATAAGTGCTTGTGGGGAACAGAGGGTGGGGCAAGGACTAACTACAATGGAACATCAAGGGAGAATTTTGGGGCCAACAGAAATGTTCTCAAACTTGGTTGTGGTGATGGCCAGGAGACACTTTGCAGAGCTCATCGACATGCTAACCACAGAGAGGGAATTTTACTGTATTTAACATTATTTATTTTTAATTTATTTTTATTTTTTATTTTTTGAGATGGAGTCTCGCTCTGTCACCCAGACTAGAGTGCAGTGGTGCGGTCTTGGCTCACTGCAACCTCTACCTCCTGGGTTCAAGCGGTGCTCCTGCCTCAGCCTCTGGAGTAGCTGGGACTACAGGCACCCACCACCACACCCCGCCAATTTTTGTATTTTCAGTAGAGATGGGGTTGTGTATTTCAGTAGAGATGGGGTTTTGCCATGTTGGCCAGGTTGGTCTTGAACTTCTGACCTCAGGTGATCCACCTGGGTCAGCCTCCCAAAGTGCTGGGATTACAGGTGTGAACCACCATGCCCGGTTTAAGTGTTAAAAAGTGGAGAAAAATAGGACTAATATGCTAATATTCCTGGAGCCCACCCCAGAGTGTTTGCTTTTTTAGGTCCTATTTGGGGCCAAGAATTTTCCTCTCCTCCCCTCCCCTCCCTCTTCACTTCCCTTCCCTTCCCCTCCCTCCCTTCCCCCCTTTCCTCCCTTCTATCTTCCCTTCCCTTCCCCTCCCTCCTTCCTTCCCTCCTCCCTTCTCTTCCCCTCCCTTCCCCTCCCTCCCCCTTTCCCTTCTCTGCCCCTCCCTCCCTCCTCCTGTCCCCTCCCGTCCCACCCCTCTCTTCCTCTTCTCTCCCCTTCTCTTCCCTTCCCTTCCCTCTCTCCTCTCTCTCTGTCTCTCTCCTTTTCTTTTTGAGACAGAGTGAGTCCCTGTCACTGGAATGCAGTGGCACAATCACAGCTCACTGTAGTCTCAACCTCCCAAACTCAAGTGATCCCCCCTCCTCAGCCTCCCAAGTAGCTGGGACTATAGGCACACACCACCATGCCCTGCCAATTTTTGCATTTTTTGTAGAGATGGGGTTTCACTATGTTGCCAAGGCTGGTCTTGAACTCCTGGGTTCAAGTAATCCACCTGCCGGCCTCCCAAAGTGTTGAGATTACAGGTGTAAGCCACTACACCCAGACAAGAATGTACATTTCTGACAAGTTCCCAGGTGCTGTGGGCCTGGGGACCATATTTTGAGAATCTCTGTATCATACTGTTCTACCTTCTTTATGTTTGAAATGTATGAAAGATTTTCTACTAACGTAAAAGAAGCAAAAAAGATGTCATTGCAGATTAGACATATCTTAGAGAGATAAAGAAGACATGGAAAATATGAGGGAAGGGTGGGTGTGGGTCATGGAGAATAAAATGGAAAGTTCTGAAGTACGTCTATGAAGCTTTCCGAAAAAGAGACAGCTGATGGAAACATATTTGAAGTAATACAAGGAGGCACTTTTCGAATTGGAGTGAAGGAGGACAGACTTACCCCAGGCTGCTAGAATACCTGATAACATGATTCATAAACTGTAAAGTGCAGTCTTCATGAGGAAGCATTAATCAGGTCCACCCAAGATTGAGGTTCCTTTTGGTCAGAGCTGTCTCACATGAGCGGTGGTACCTGTGTGTGAGAGAGCTCCCCATCCCAGTAGGTATGCAAGCACAGCACAGTGTAGTAGAGTCAGCAAAACTGGGTTCTAATGCAGATTGCACAACTCCCCAGCTGTGTGACAATGGGCACGAGTTGGCCTCCCTGAGTGTCAGTTTCCTTATCTGTACAGTGGAATAATCTGACCCATGGTAACACCATTCATGGGGTTGTTGAGACAATGAACCACAGAATGGCTGTGAAGCTCCCAATATGTAGTGTAATGCTCAAAGAATGTTATTCAGCCCCAAGAGCAGGGGCCAAGCTTTCTTTGGGAGGAGCAGCCGTGAGGGTTCTCCAGCAGAGAATCAGGTGGAGCTGCTGGCAGGAGGAAACCCATCTTGCAGGCCATGTCCAGAGTGGAAAATTACCAAAGCAGAGGAGGTCTGCAGGAATGGAAATGAAAGTGGAACTCAGAGCCCTTCCCTCTTTCTCCCCTGCAGACGATGGGCCCTACTCCAAAGGAGGCAAGGACACAGGAGGGGCCGATGTTTCCCTGGCCTGCCGCAGACAGAGCATTCCAGGTAATGAGGCCTCGCTCATTCCCTCTTTTTCTGCCCCGCAGGCACAGAGAGCCCTGGGTGGGGGTCAAACGGCAACAGCTCTGCTGCTCACTTGCTCTGTGACCTTAGACCATTCACTTAAGCTCTCTGATTCTCCTCTGTAAAAAGGAGGTGATCACCACCCAGGGCGGTGCAGCAGAGTGCCCTGCTAACCACGGGCTTGCCTCACTTGTCTTGGAGCTGGGGGCCCAGG